TTGGCAATTAGGAATGAGTCTGTGGTTGTCAATGAAATTCACCAATCTCAGAAAATAACTATAATCGATGACTTTTGCAACTTGTGTTTGTAAGCAAACATCACTGTAGTTAGTCACTTGAGTTTTAAGGCCTTCATTTTTATATTTGTATAGGGAGCAACTTCGACATTTAAAGTGCTTCCGGATATATTCCTTCTATGAATGATTTGATCTATTATATGCGATATAGGATAGCAAATTAAATCACTTAAAGTTCTTAAAGCTTTACCATGAATTTCATCTATATGTAGTTTTCATAATTACATCTTGCACTTCATTATATGTTGTAGGATACATAGATAATAAAATATTGGAAAGGGGGGATAACTTGAGTTCATCAATATTGGGGTTGACTTCTTCAATTCCCAGGAAAAATTCATTGAAGTGATTAACAATTTTACACTCATCTGTAATAAGTTTATTATTGATAGTAAGCTCAAGTTTATTATTTATTTTTGCATTTCTTGAGTTATTTCTGATCTCTTTAACTATTTTTCAGCTTTCCTTATTTATACTTTTTTATCTACTTTTATATCTTCTTTTTATAATTTCATTTGTTGTATTCCTGGCTAACTTTGAAAGAGCACATACCATTTGATGTAATTCCTTGATTTCTCTATTTATCCATGGTTTGTCAGAATTTTTTCTGTTACCTTTCATTTTTTTCAGTAGAAAAACCTTGTAATGATTATAAGGGTTGTATGGAAAGCATTATAACATTCATTCACATCAGTAGCTGTATACACATCTTCCCACTTGAAAAAATAACGTCGGCCGACGCTGGTTTTCTCCGATCGACTACGAGTTGGTCAAGGTCACGCTCAGCCCCACTTGCATCTCTCTCGAAAATTCTGGAGCGGCACGTTTGTTCGAGAGTTTCTCTATCAGCATCCAGGGAGTCCCAACTGGTTATAATGAGTGATTTTATTGCTGGTATCTTTTTGGCAACACTGTTTTTGACAGATCACGCGTAAATTGTGTCTTGTGTCATTGTCAAACTTGTTCAGTTTGGTCTATAATTTAACACGAATCGACTTACGAATGAACAACGCTTGCAAATTATTGAATTTTATTATCAAAATTCATGCTGGGTGAAGAAAGTGCATCGTGCACTTCCTCCAATTTATGGGCAGTTTTGTCGGCCTACTGAGGGAGCTATTCGGAAGCTTGTGACTAAATTTCGAACCCAGTTTACATTATTGGACATTAAACCACCAACACGCATACGTAGAGTGAGGACCGAACAAAATATTGCGGCTGTATCCGCCAGTGTTCGTGATAAGCGTGAAATGTCGATTCGCCGCCGTTCGTAGCAATTGGGCATCTGTTACTCCACTACGTGGAAAATTTTGCGAAAGGATTTGGGTGTAAAACCTTATAAGATATAGCTGGTGCAAGAATTGAAGCCACACGACCTCCCATAACGTGAATGGGCGCTGGGAAAGTTGGAGGAAGATCCACATTTTTATCGAAAAATTGTGTTCAGCGACGAGGCTCATTTCTGGTTGAATGGATACGTTAACAAGCAAAATTGCCGCATCTGGAGTGAAGACCAGCCACATGCATTGCAAGAGTTACCGATGCATCCCGAAAAAGTCACTGTTGGGTGTGGTTTATGGGTCGATGGCATCATCGGCCCGTAATTACTTCTTCAAAGACGACAATGGCCGGAACGTTACTGTGAATGGCGAGCGCTACCGTGTGATGATTGACGACTTTTTGTTGCCCAAAATGGAAGAATTGGACATGCCTGACATGTGGTTTCAACAAGACGGTGCCACACGGTATGCGAATCAATGGCTCAGTTGAGAGCCGCCTTTGGTGAACAGTTTATCTCACGTTTGGGGCCCGTCAATTGGCCGCCTAGATCGTGTGATTTAACGCCTTTGGATTATTTCTTGTGGGGTCATGTTAAGGTTTATGTCTACAGGGATAAACCAGCAACGACTGACACCCTGGAAGCCAATATTGAAGCATTTATACGTGAAATACCGGTCGATATGTTAGAGAATGTGCCAAAATTGGACCTTGCGCATGGGCCCATCTAAAGTGGAGCCGCGGACAACATTAGCATGAAATCATCTTCAAACATTAAATTATATTGATCGTCCTATCGACTCCAATAAAGATTCCATTTTTGAATTTTTTTCTGTTGTTTTGAAAATCAAATCCTATATCTCTTAAAAAATCACCCGTTATAAGCGTTGCCGCTACGTTGGAGATTCATGTGTGGCAGAAATATGAATATCCTCAAAATAATAATCAAATTCTTAATTGCCTTATCTTTTCATGTAGTCCTATTTTATTTACGGTATTTTTTTTACTACAAAATCCAGGTTCATTCTTTTTAAAAATAGATGAAAGTGAGCAGTTTCCCCTTTTTTAAGTCAATTTATTGATAATGATTTTAACGCAAAAACTGCACCCACATGTCAGGACCGAACATACTGAGCATTTTACCAACCAAGTTACCAAACCCATGATACAGATCACACTTTGTGTTGAAAAGAGTATTACAATTCTGATGTTTGGAAGCAATGTTTGTATTAGATCTATTCAACGCCAACGGGGTTCCAGTCCTATCTTTAAATGCGTTGACAGTTGAATGCTTCAAAATGGATAACTATTGACATTACTTCATTTCCCTTTTTACATTCTATATAAAAAATAATTATGTCTTGAAGAATTCTCATCCCATACAATTTGACTATTCTGACGTAGATGTAAGCACTAATACAGAGTTTAAAATCTGTTTTTCCGTTAACCAGCTGTCGCACCCCTACGAACGACTACCCTTAGAAGTCGAAACTTGTGCGAGCTGAGGATTAACGAGGTCTTACCTTTTAACGTGTGATTCCTAACACGGGTTGGACGAAAGCAAGTGAAAATCGATCGTTCAGACTAGGGCTTGAACCACCGACCAACACGGCAGTCAATTCGAGTGAGTGAACAATGCACCCGCGTCGAACCGCCTGGCTACCGATTTACTACATGGGCTGAAAAGTCTCTGGCCTAACACATAGATGACGCTAGTCTTATTGTATTCACTGCTTTTTCAATTAGTACTAACCTTCAAAAGAAATCTCTTGAAATTTCATTATATTCTACTCATAAGTTTGTGAGTTATTGTGCTAAGAGTGACACTACTTTTGTTATTTTCAAAACAATGGATCAAAAGCACTTTCGTGTTTTAATTTTACACTGCTTCTTGATGGGGAAAATACCGTTTGTGCGAAGCAATGTCTTAAAAAGTGTTATAAGGACTCAGCTTCATCAGAAACAACAATAACACCAGGAAACAAAAAAAGTCAGTGGATGAAACATGTATCCATCACTTCACTCCGGAATCAAAACGATCGTCATCTGAATGGAGAGCAACTGGTAAACCTCGTCCAAAGTGCTCGAAAGCACAACAATCGGCTGGAAAGGTTATGGCCTCTGTGTTTTGGTATGTGCGGAGTTTGAAAAGGGAAATACCATCAACAGTGAATGTTATTGGATCGTTTGAAGGCCGAAGTTGCAAAGAAATTACCGCATATGGCAAAGAAAAAAGTCAATGAAAACAATGACAAAACTACATGAAATGAACTTCGAATCGCTTCCTTATTCACCGTATTCGCCAGATTTGGCTCCCAGCGACTACTGGCCTATTTTGAGATAGAAGATTAATCGTTCTACAAAAGTGGTATTGAATCGTTAGAGCGGCGCTGGAATGATTGGTGGCTCTTGATGGAGATTACGTTGATGAATAAAGCCAATTTTGAACAAAAAAACGCGTTTTCTTTCTTAGGCCCTGGACTTTTCAGGCCATGTGTTATTTAGCTAGTTTGAAAAATATCTGTGCTGAAAAACTTACCCTTGAAAGTGTCCATTTTCAGTTTGATCAGGAACATAAATTAAATTGGTATGAAATTTTCTCATCCTGAGCCTGCCATTCAGCAGTTTCATTTTTAAAAGTAATCGCATCTCTTTTCAGCTGAAACAAAATCATACATACTTTTTGAAAATGTTTGATAGCAAGATAGACTAGGCAAATTACTGAAGTTCACTTGAGTTACTTCTAGACCATAATGTTGATTCTTTCATGCGTTTTTTAAGTAGTAATTTATGGAGTTGATTGTTTAAATATTTTTTTCCTAACAATGAACAGAAAACAATGTCGATTTATGATTATTTGGGTAATATTGATTGACATCATGTTTTGAAGCTGTATTACATAAGAAATGATATTACTGATTAAGAAAAAATGAATCAATTATCTAAATTAAATAGGACACAAACCATAACCAAACAGTTCAGCTGTTGTCACAGGTCACTGTTGCCAATATGAAAATTCATCGTTTCTGCGTAGCTAACTTCATGTTTTATGAATCGATTTTTCTGTGCAAAATGTTATTTATTTTTTATGAAACGTGTGACATACATATTCTCGTGATTATGTTTTTATGATTAACTCAATAAAATAATAATGTGTTGATAAATTGGAATGATGGTGTTATCATCTAACCCATTATTCGATTTATTCCTTTGAACAAAACCAGATTATACTCATCTCTTTGTTTNTTCAAATTTAAACTATTGCACGAGAAAATAAATCAAAGTCGCCTCACAAACTGATGTGGCACGCATAACAAAGAAACGTTGCAATTGCGTTGGTTTTATTTTAATTGAAATTGGTAGTTGTGAACATACCTCTTTGGGTGAATTTCATCAAAATGAATTATTATAACTTTCAAGTTGATGTGAAACTGTAACAAAAAAAATTTGACATGCATGTACTGCTTGCTACCCATGTGAAGCCGTTTTGAGTCGCCAATTTCCAATAATAAAGTTACCAATAGTGTGCACTCAATTTCGATAAAATTGTATATTGAGAAAATCTTGAATAACAGAAATTAGTACTACTATAGTAATCGCAATTAACCATTTTTTTGTTAACCATTTATTTACATTTTTTTTAGCCTTGAAACTCAAATTGTCCTTTTGAGAAACTGCTGGTCAGAATTATTCACACTTGGTTTGGCACAGTGCTCCCAATTGCTGTCACTATCAACAATTCTATCTGCTCTGATTAGCCACATTCATGCCTCAATTGCACAAGATAAAATGTCAGCCAACAAAGTGAAGCAGGTAACAGATAATATAGTTAAATTACAAGATTTTGTTACCAGTATGAATACATTACATGTCAATGAAAATGAATATGCGTACTTGAAGGCAATTACTTTGTTTTCCACTGATAGCCCAGATATTCTGTTGAGGAAACCAATTGAGGAATTACAAGAGAAATCATTTCAAGCGTTGAGAAGTTATGTTGGTGACAGTTATCCAGATGATATTGACAGATTTCCAAGGTATGTTCACTTGATAAGCCATTTACTCCATATGTGATAACTATTTGATAATTAGCATACAAAATTTCAGTTGTGATGAGCCATAATCTGCAATGTCTATTGGTTTTTGAAGTTGTATGATAATCGTTTTCTTTGAAATGTCCATTAAAATAATCAAGGTATAGATAGTATGATTTTGAGAAGATATTTTGTTGTTAAATTGAAAGAGGATTTTTTTTGGGAGAGATTAATCGTAATGTTGTGCAAGAAATGCGTGTGTTTTCGTTTTCAAAAGTTCAAATTGATGCTATTGAGGAAATAAGTTTATTCAATCTAAAACTTCAAGAAGTACACGCTAATACACGTTAAAAAAGCTAGAATTGCATGAAAGTGAAATTTTATATCAATTCCTTTCCTCTATATCATAAGATCTGTTTCAATTAAATAATTAATATTTGGAGAACATACTGAATGGAAAAAGTGTTTTTCACGTAATTATATTTTCATATGACACGACACGTGTCGCTGTTTTGTAAACTGTCAAGTGGAAATCTCATCAAAGGTTTTTTTGATATGTTGTATGGAAGTAGTTGTTTCGAAAGTGCATTTTTTGTAATTCAATGTTCTTCTGAAACTAGTTGTTTTGAGAGGGTTCTTTCTTTCAGTTTTTATCTGAAAGAAACTTCTGTACACAATCTACACATCTTTGTTAAGAGTTCATTTTGAACTTGATTGCTTTCTTTCTTCTCAATATATTCAATTATGGATGTTCTTGATAAATTCCACCACTGATATTCAGTGGTTTCAGAAGTGCTGAGTATGAACAGACTCTTCAATAGCACTACAAATAAAAAAGATTCAGCAAAAATAGAATTTCGAAATTTTTGGTTTCTCTGATATACGAGTATCTCCGGAACCAAGAGAGCTATAGTTGTCTTTTTGGTATCATTCATTAGTACCCAAAAATGAGCAAATCTGCCCGAATATAACCTAATCTTTCTCTTACCATTTACGAGATCCCCTCATACACCTCGAACTTCAGTGTCTAAGAACTCTTTCACCTGGAGAATTGTTTTTACATGGAATAAACTTCCTGAGAATGTTTTTCCAAATGGGTATAATCTCCAGCAATTCAAATCCAATGTGAATCGCTACTTTCACACAGACACCGCTCTGAGAGCGTCTTAAGGATTTTCCTGTAGTGCTTGTGTTTTGTCCTCAAAAAATAAATATATATTTATTCATATTTATACTAGCTGACCAGGCAAACTTTGTTTTGCCACATGAACTATTTCTATCAGAACAATAACACTTACAAATAATATTGATCCCTTAATGCTATAGTGTGTGCAATATTTTTCGTTAGTCCATGTTTAGCTAAAACAAACAAACTGGATGGTTCGCCTACACGGGAGCATGCCACATATAATTGTCCGTGTGTAAACATGGTGTGCTCAAATCCAAGCCACAAACGGATATTGTTTGGCCTTGGGACTTATTAATAGTCATTGCAAATACCACTCTTATTTATTGGAAATTGCACACGTTTAAAATGAATTGGCATTCGTGGTATAATTATATTTTCACCTCGAAACTTGCCATTCAAAATGCTGGCTTCGATAACATTTCTCAATCATTTTTTAATGACTAATCACGTGGCGTCCGCACAGCCGTGATGAATTTAAATTACGTAGCGATCCAACCTTCAGTTGTAAATTATGCCTGGCAAATCCAATGAGTTCAAAAACTCTGTTGGATAACTCACAGCTTCAGTGGCATCTCAAACTGTATCTACCCTCGATAGATAAACAATAATAGTGATCGAAAACTGTGTAAGGAGTGAGAGAAGGCTTTTTATGTGTGAGAGACAGGAGACTGGCTTCGTTCTCATCCCTACTCCGTGCTGTTTACTGAGTGAGAAATTACACGCTTGGCGGGTATAACTGATCTATGATCAGGGTTTAAAATGATGAAATTACTAAAATGGCTATCAAAAAATAGGGGTTGGTGATAAATGGGCAAAAATTGAGTGTCATAAACACAAAAAAATTTGTAGAAAAAAATATAAAAATTTTTTTGGGGTGGGACACCCTTATCACTTAGGGGTATTACCTACTGAATTTACATATGAAACTTCATGAAAATCGGTTGAGCCGTTTCAGAGTATGGCAACTAACACCATTACATGAGAATTTAATATATTAGATATATATTCTGTGTTTTTACCTTCGCTGGGACAAATTTCACGACGTTTCGGCGAAGTCTCATTTCCCTGATGTTTGATGCTTCAGTTCTCGTTGGGACCTCCTCGGAACGCCTGGATCGTAATACCCTGACATATCAAGAATGCAATCGCTGTCCAAGTCATTTGACAGATCAATATAAAAGGAATCATCAAAGCTGCATTAACTTGTTCAGCTTCTTTTCTCACTGCATCGGAATCCCCTTTCGGTTCTTCCTTTGCCGGACAAATGGTCTCGTTTATGTATAATTCCATAGTTTGCTCTTCCATAATAGTCACTTCTTGGCTTATGATGACTTTCCTCGTCGCTGGATGAAATTTATATCATTTGGTAGTTTCATTATATCCTACAAGGATATGCTTCACTGATTTCTGATCGCACTTATTCCTATTGTCATTAGGGGTATGGACCATGGCCTTACTTCCATGTAGCCGATAGTTACTTATATCTAGTGTCTTGCCAAACCACAGTTCGTACAGAGTTTTCAAAATCCCAGAAGATGCTGAACGGTTTCTGATGTCGCAAGCCGTCTTGCATGCTTCCGCCCATAAAAATTCAGTAATGCCTTCATTAAACATACGGCGAGCTTATTGGCGCACTTTTTTAGTACGATGACGGGCACTTCAGGATCAGCCATCTTGTTGATATTAGGCTGTTTCAAACAGCCTAATGTGTTTCTCGATGAAACATACCTTCATAGTGGACATACATCTGCCAAGAACTCGACGGATGATAAAATATGAAAAGAAATTATAAAGAAGTCATGTTCCATTTGCTACCCTAATTAAAACTAATTATTACGACACTGGCCGAAAAGGGGCTTATCGTAATCCAATAGTGATTTAGATAGGAGACTCTATATCTGCGCGATCGCTCTCCATCAGGGATCACGCCGTGGCGTGTACTGTATCTTCTTTGCTATAGGTATGATCCGGCCAAAAGACAATACTGACACCTTCGAATAAAACAAATGACAGCGGGAAACGTAGGTAATTCCCTGCACAAGATACACTTACAACTGTGGGCAGACGTTGCATCTCTGCGTCTTCGCCGGCCTCGCATCTCACGTCCCGCGCTTTTTTCACGGTGGTGGGGCGCGGCGCGGCAACCAACTGCACACCACCTGCTGAATTTTAAATCATTCACGGACTACTATTTTGGCTTCTGCGGACCACTAGTTGGGAACTTTTGCATTACACAAACATACTACTTTCACAAAAAATCGTAGAAAAAATTTAATAAAATTCAAGAACACAGTACATGACTACTAACAGAATTCCAAAGGAACATAGAATATTCTCCCGTGTCCACCTTTGTCCAGTACAAAAATAAATCACAATCAAATACGAGGGATGTGTAATGGGAGCTTCAATATCAAGCATCATAGCACAAGTTTTACTAGGGGATCGTGAACAAAAAGTAATACTTGAATTAAAATCGACCTACCCTTATATGCTAGATATGTTATAGATTCAACTCTACACGGAATAAATGAAAAAATCAAAACCTAATAGTATACAAAAGATACTTGGTCAGGAATATATATGATATATTCAAAATCAGACTACCTTCTGACCCCAAAAAAATCCGTTATCTTAGGCCTTGCAAATAGAACGATTTCATTGTCCGACCCTGATTTTAACCAATTGCAATGAAACACTGTAGATTTAATTCAAAATAACTATCCTAATAAATTAATTACCAAAATGTTTTTCTTTCACAATCAAACTTCAAAACAAAAAGAAAACACAACTACATATACACTACCATGCATAAACGACTTAACAAACAACATCTCAGAATAAATAAAACATAATAATATAAAAATAGGACATAGAGAACATCATACTCTCAAAAAGACCACCTTCTCACATCTAAAGACAAAGACACTTTAAAATCAAAACCATCACCTAGTATATGAAATCCCATTCAAAGAACAAAACTGTCACGAAAGTTCTAGCTACAGGAAACACAAAAATTTTGTTGCAGAAGTCTTAAAATCAAAACTCCTTGATAGATGATTGGTAACTAAAATCTGCGACTTTGCATTCGTGAATATATTTTATATTAAATATATAAATTGGTCGAGTATTCCAAACTTCCTCAATATTTTCTATAGATAAGTGCAACACAACCAAATGCTTGCTTGGAATATTTGATTTTAAGACATGTATAATTTCATCTCGGACATTAGATTGTTGAAGATGGATTTATTGGTACCGCAAGTTTTCGGTATTGTTCAATGTACCATTTAATCGATTAGCAAGAATTTCAGTGAGTTGAATAAAATTTGGCACCTCTGACGTAAAATGAATTGCATTGAAAACACTTTTTCGTCACCAGAACAAACAGTTTAGAGTGTCTTCGTAAATCCTTGACTTTTCAGAAATATGATAACTCAAAATTTATAGTTTTCCATTCGAATCAAAAACATTTCAAAGTTAAATTTTAAAGTGGCTTCAAAATTGCTTTCCGATCTGAGAATATCATAATTCTTTCCCTCCTCATGTTCATATTTCACAGTTCCATCGTTTTGAAAACAAATTGTTGCACTGTTGATTGGGCTATAAGAAACAACCCTAATATGAACCTTTTATTGGATGTGATCGAACTGAATTGATTTTACTTTGTCCATAGTCAGTTTCGAAAAGTCGTCTATCTTTCTGAATATATAATTTGGTGAATTTATTCTGCACATATCTGAAATCAAGTGTAATGGGTTTACCTAATTTTATTGACATCGCTGATAGGTAAATATTAAAAATGCTCGCTTTACCC